GTAACCAAAGCAGTATGGTACTGATACCAAAACAGATATATAGACCAATGGAAAAGAACAGAGGTCTCAGAAATAAGACCACACATCTACAACCATCTGATCTTTGACTAACCTGACAAAAACAAGAAATGGGGAAAGCATTGCCTATTTAATAAATGATGCTGGGAAAACTGGCTAGCCTTATGTAGAAAGTTGAAACTGGATCCCTTCCTTACACCTACACAAAAATTAATTCAAGATGGATTAAAGACTTAAATTTTAGACCTAAAACCATAAAAACTCTAGAAGAAAACCTAGGCAATACCATTCAGGACATAGGCATGGGTAAGAACTTCATGACTAAAACACCAAAAGCAATGGCAACAAAAGCCAAAATAGACAAATGGGATCTAATTAAACTACAGAGCTTCCGCATGGCAAAAGAAACTACCATCAGCGTGAACAGGCAACTTACAGAATGGGAGAAAATTTTTGCAATCTACCCATCTGACAAAGAAAGAATTCAAACAAATTTACAAGAAGAAAACAAACAACCCCATCAAAAAGTGGGCAAAGGATATAAACAGGCACTTCTCTAAAGAAGACATCTATGCAGCCAACAGACACATGAAAAAATGCTCATCATCAGTGTTCATCAGAGAAATGCAAATCAAAACCACAAAGAGATACCATCTCATGCCAGTTAGAATGGCGATCATTAAAAAGTCAGGAAACAACAGGTGCTGGAGAGGATGTGGAGAAATAGGAACACTTTTACACTGTTGGTGGGAGTGCAAATTAGTTGAACCATTGTGGAACACATTGTGGCGATTCCTCAAGGATCTAGAACTAGAAATACCATTTGACCCAGCAATCCCATTATTGGGTATACACCCAAAAGATTATAAATCATGTTAGTATAAAGGCACATGTACACGTATGTTTATTGTGGCACTATCCACAATAGCAAAGACTTGGAACCAACCCAAATGTCCATCAATAATGGACTGGATTAAGAAATTGTAGCATATATACACCATGGAATAGTATGTAGTCATAAAAAAGGATGAGTTCATGTCCTTTGCAGGGACACAGATGAAGCTGGAAACCATCATTCTCAGCAAACTATCACAAGGACAGAAAACACCGCATGTTCTCACTCACAGGTGGGAACTGAACAATGAGATCACTTGGACACAGGGCAGGGAGCATCACACGCTGGGGCCTGTCATGGGGTGGGGGGGAGTGGGAAGGGATAGCATTAAGACAAATACCTAATGTAAATGACAAGTTAATGAGTGCAGCAAACCAACATGGCACATGTATACATATGTTACAAACCTGCACGTTGTGCACATGTATCCTAGAACTTAACAACAACAACAAAAAAAAACGAAATTTATTCTACCAGATGTCCTCAATCATCTCTGTCAATTTCAAAGTTCCATAAATCTCTAGGGCAGAGACAAAAGGCCACCAGTCTCTTTGCTAAAGCACAGCAAGAGTGACCTTTACTTCAGTTCCCAACAAGTTCTTCAACTCCATCTCAGACCTCCTCAGCGTGGACTTCACTGTCCTTGTCACTATCAGCAGTTTGGTCAAAGTCATTCAACAAGTCTCTAGGAAGTTCCAAACTTTCCCACATCTTCTTGTCTTCTTCTGAGTCCTCCAAACTGTTCCAACCTCTGCCCATTATACAGTTCCAAAGTCACTTCCACATTCTCAGGTATCTCATAGCAATACCCCATTACCTCGGTATCAAAATCTGTATTAGTCATGGTTCTCTAGAGGGATACAACTAACAGGATATATATATGTATGAAAGGGAGTTTATTAAGGAGAATTGAATCACACGGTCACAAAGTGAAGTCCCACAACAGGCCGTCTGCAAACTGAGGAGCAAGGAATCCACTATTGCCTCAGTCCGAGTCCCAAACCTCAAAAGTAGGGAAACCGACAGTCCAAGCCTTGAGTCTCTGGATGAAGGCCTGAGAGCCCCTGGAAAACAACTGGAGTAAGTCCAAAAGTCCAAAAGCCGAACTTGGAGTCTGATATTTGAGGGCAGGAAGCATCCAGCATGGTAGAAAGATGAGGGCCAGAAGACTCAGCAAGTCAGTTTCTCCTAACCTTCTGCCTGCTTTATTCTAGCCATGCCGGCAGCAGATTGTATGGTACCCCCCGACATTGAGGGTGAATCTGCCTCTCCCAGTCCACTAAATAAACGTTAATCTCCTTTGGCAACACCCTCACAGACACATCCAGGATCAACACTTTGGATCCTTCAATCCAATCAAGTTGACACTTACTTAATATTAACCTTCACAATGTAATATTAATCCCATTTGTAATTTTTCTTTAATATATAAGCTCCTTGAGAACATGCACCACTTGATCTTGTCTCCCTGTTGTGTTGGGAGGCAGTGGAGAAGAGTAGACTTAAATGTGTGGGTGTGGAGTCAGACTGCCAGATTTCATCTTGGCTCCTCTACTTATTTGATCTCTGACCTTGAGTAAATTACTTAACATCTTTCTCAGTTTCCTTACCTGTAAATGAGTGGTGACATATATGGAACTTAGAACAAGAGCCAAGCAAGTATTCAATAAAAGCAAATGTTGTTGCTTACTATTTGTCCTCAGTGTTTAGCATAGTAGCCGGCAAAAGGAAGGGGATTTTTTTTTTTTCTTTTTTTCAGACAGTCTCCCTATGTTACCCAGCCTGGAGCGCAATGGCGTGATCTTGGCTCACTGCAACCTCTGCCTCCTGGGTTTAAGCGATTCTTGTGCCTCAGCCTCCTGAGTAGCTGGGATTACAGACCTGTGCCATGACACGCAGCTAACTTTTTGTATTTTTAGTAGAGATGGGGCTTTGCTATGTTGGCCAGGCTGGTCTTGAACTCCTGTCCTCAAGTGATCCACCTGCCTTGGCCTCCCAAAGTGTTGGGATTATAGGCGTGAGCCTCTGGGCCCAGCCTGGAAATATTTTTTTGAAAGAGGATTGATAACAATATTTTTTGAAAGAATGACAGATACCAATCATGAAGGAAAAGATTTTCACAATTGACAATAAAAAACTTGAACATCTGAATGGTAAAAAGAGAGAGAAAATTAAAAGGCAAATTACAAACTGAAAAAACTAAGGTATATAAAACAAAGGGTTTCCATTCTCAATTTAACGCAGAATCTTGACAAATCAAAAGGAACAAAAGATGAAACTACCTAAAAGAAATAGGCAAAAAACTTTCAAGAAAAGCAATTTATAAAATGCCAATGACAAATCAACATGGATATTTAACATCACTAGTACTCAAAGTATTCATGTATAGAGATCCCCCCCTTCACCTATCAAATCAGCAAAGATGAAAAAGGCTAGTAATACCTAGTTTTGAAGAGAAGTGAGAGGAAGTGACCAGTTTATGTATCCTGGTAGGACTCGATATTGTGGCAATATGTTTGGAAAACTCATAAATGTATATACCTTTTAGATAAACAATTACACTTTTAAGTTTAAGAAAATATGAAGATTAGGTACAAATATTTCTCTATATGTTCAACTAAGTATTATTTTTTAAATTAATTAATTTTTTTTTTTTTTTGGAAACAGTCTCACTCTGTTGCCCTAGTTGGAGTGCAGTAGTGTGATCTGAGCTCACTACAGCCTCCGCCTTCTGGGTTCAAGTGGTTCTCCTGCTTCAGCCTCCTGAGTAGCTGGGATTACAGACACCCAATACCACGCCCGGCTAATTTTTGTATTTTTAGTAGAGATGGAGTTTCACCATGTTGGTTGGCCAGGCTGGTCTTGAACTCCTGACCTCAAGTGATCCATCCTTCTTGGCCTCCCAAAGTGCTGGGATTACAGGTATGGGCCACTGTGCCTGGTCAATTTTTTTAATTTTTAAAAATATTTTTATAGCAGCACGACTAAGTATTATTTTAATAGTAAATACTGGAGTCAACTTCAATTTTGAACAGGATAATTATGATGCAGCACATTGAATACTCTTTCATTAAGCTAAACAACTATTAAAAATGATATACAAATATATTTACTGAAAAGAAACGTGTTTGTGATATATAGTTAAGTGTAAAACAGTTCAGGTTATAAGAACATATTGGTCAATATTCACTGATTTTTATAAGAATATTTGACAGAGAGAGGGGGAAGGGAAGGGAAGGAAAGAGAAAGGAAGGGGAGGAAAGGGAAGAGGGAAGGGAAGGGGAGGGGAGGGGGGGAGGGGAGGGGAGGGGAGGAAAGAAAATATGGGTGGATTTATATCAAAAGGTTCAGAAGGAAATGATTCTTTTCTTCTGGATGTGACTATTGCAGATTTTACTTTTAACTTTTCCCCTTTTTCTTATTTATTTATATTTTCTGATTTTAAGAGAAACTATGTATATTACTTTTCAACTTAAAAATATTTTAGTGCTTCAATAATACAGAAGACTCAATTTCAAACACTGTAGATAATTAAAGCATTACTAAATGAAGAAATATTTACTGTCACAATTTCTGTAGTGATATTCAAGACCAGATATCACCTTGGGAGTCAGAACTGGTGCAGGATCTTGTCCTGACACTACAAAAAGGCATATGGCTGTCCCAGCTCTATATGTTTATGTTGTCTTATAACAGAGCAACCAGTTGTTTATTAGGATGGCCAAAAAGGCACATTTCAAAAATGCCTATTAAAATATTAGTAGCAGAAATAATATTGCTGCTTAATTTTTTTCTAATGAGAACTGATAAAATTCCAAAGCAACATAAGCAGATAAATAGTAATAATATGGCTTATCAAATTAATTGTAACATGGTTATTAAACTGAGATCATGTGTGTCAAGTAGTGGTATCTTAAGCCACTGAAATATCTTCCTTGGTCTAGAATGAGCTTTCTATGGAGATTAAAAAGATGTTAAATTGAAAAGTCGTGCTTAATAAATGAAGAAGCAAAGCCAGAAACCCTGTTTAAGGAACTAACAAAAACGGTCATGAATGATCCGGTGATTGTTATATTTTCTTGTTTACCCGAGGAGAAGACTATGCTCAAGCATGTATTGAATCCAGTGATAGCCAGAACATCATCCATACTGCTAGCAGCCATTAGTAAGGATGGAATGCCTTCCTCAACACCATATCCATTTTCTTGTAACACCATCATGGAAGGGACAACAATAGCAGGAGAGACAGCACCTAGAACAAAACTGAAAGACTGAAAATTAATTTTAAAGCATCTTTTTAATCAAGTGGTATTTTATAAGTACAAGTAGTTTATAATAACTTTATAATAACATTGTTTAGAAGAATTTCAAATTTGAGTGAATGCAATTTAATGGTGATAAAACTTTTCATGCATTGTTTAGTGCTGGCTAAAATTTTATACAGACGTGGTTTAAAATGTTGGGCTGAGCACAGGTTGCAGCCTCTCCCTCTATTCCTAAATCCTTTGAAGTGAAGATGTAAAAGTAATAGAAAAATTCATAACCTAACTAGAAAACAAAAGGTGAATCCTCAATGGACAAGAAACTAAGTATATCCCAGGAAGATAAGAGACAGATAATTTAGGATTGAAAAAAGGAAACCATAAACCAAAATGTGTGTAAGATTGCCTCAAAAGGTACGTGTGCTTCTAAAAGTGCTCCAAGCCCTGAAATGGCAGATGTTGGGAGCAGGAGAGACCTCTGGGGAAACCAAATAGTTGATTATTTGGAGTACCACTGTTAGAATGGCCAGACAAATCTACCTTCCACACATTTCCTACCTCTTGAGTAAGTAAGGAAGGAAGGAACAGAGTTGTCTGCCCAAAAACACAAGTGTGGCCACCTAAGTTACAAAGGCAAATGAGAACATTTCTGGAGTGGTTGATGACATCCATGAGGAATGGGGAGACTCCTGCTCAGAATACCTTCTATTGGCACATCTTATCCAGAATTTCGCTTCATCTCTTCGACGTTTACTTTATAAAGGCTGAAGTATATCCTGTGTAGAAATGCTCTTGGTGCTCCTACCAGAACCCATTTACCAGGTCAATGAATACATCTCCCAGCTGCTGCATGTTTGCTGCTAACATCTGCAGGTTTCTATAACCCTTGTCCTGCTGACAAGCACCTACCTGGGAATACTAGGGAGGTTATGCACCCCTCTACTTGCCTCTAGACAGCATCTGCCAATGACTAACTGATGTGAGTGTCTAATAGTTTAGCCCATTTACTTCTGGCTGTACAACCTCTACGGTGCAGTTTATGCTACAGATTTCCCTGTGGTCTCAAGAAGAGACTAGACTTCTCTAAGACCACATACTGGCCTGGTTCAGTGGTTCCTGTCTCTGCTGCACATTGTAATCACCTGTGGTATTATTTTTCTCATTTTGCTTAACACATCATCCCCAAACATAGCAGCTTAAAACAACAAATATTTGTTGTCTTAGGACTTCTGTGGGTCAGGAATCTGGGTATGGCTTAGCTGTATGCCTTGACTTAAGATTTCCCATGAGGTAGGTGGGGTGGGAGAAGATCTGCTTCCAAGTTTACTCATGTAGCTATTGCAGGCTTCAGTTTTTTCCAATGGGGTCTTCTCCACAGGGCTGCCTCAGGACATGGCAGCTGGCTTCCCCAGGAATAAGTGATCAAAGAGAATTTAATCTATAACATCAATTAAAAACACAAAATATCATCTATAACATCAATTAAAAACACAAAATATCTAGTTGCCTCCTTAGCGCAGTAGGCAGCGCGTCAGTCTCATAATCTGAAGGTCCTGAGTTCGAACCTCAGAGGGGTCAACGCACCCGTTGGCCGGGCGCCGTGGCTCAAGCCTGTAATCCCAGCACTTTGGGAGGCCGAGGCGGGCGGATCACGAGGTCAGGAGATCGAGACCATCCTGGCTAACACGGTGAAACCCCGTCTCTACTAAAAATACAAAAAGAAATTAGCCGGGCGTGGTGGCGGGCGCCTGTAGTCCCAGCTACTCCGGAGGCTGAGGCAGGAGAATGGCGTGAACCCGGGAGGCGGAGCTTGCAGTGAGCCGAGATCGCGCCACTGCACTCCAGTCTGGGCGACAGAGCGAGACTCCGTCTCAAAAAAAAAAAAAAAAAAAAACACAAAATATCTAAGAACAAAACTGTGAAGATAGTCTATACTTTTATAAAAATTATGAATATAATAATTAATATAACTAAGATAATACCTGAATACTTAGAGAGACATTTCACAAGTGTGAACTAAAAAGCCTCAATTTTACAGGCGCCCAACACCACGCCCGGCTAGTTTTTGTGTTTTTAGTACATATGGTGTTTCACCATTTTGGCCAGGCTGGTCTTGAACTCCTGACCGCAAGTGATATGCCCACCTTGGCCTTCCAAAGTGCTGGGATTATAGGTGTGAGCCACCACACCCGGCCAAAGCCTCAATAATGTAAAGATGTAATCTCTACCCCAAATAAATTAATCAGAGATACACCAATCAAAATATTTGCAGGGATTTTTACTGAACTTGACAAGCTAATTATAAAGTTCATTTGGGAGAATAAGATCTTAGAATGAAAGATCAAGTAAATTTAAGAGAACAAGATACTGTTTTTGTAAAGGTAAAATAGTTAAAACTGAATAATAGTGACATAAATAGACAAAATAGATTGGAAGAAAAGAGAATACAAAGTGTGGAAACTAATCTATGGGATTTATTACATTATACAATTGGTATTTTAAATCAGTGGGAGAAAGAAATCTTTCATAAATGGTGTTGAGATAACTATTTATGTGGAAAGGAATATAGATAGACCTTACACATAATAAATGTTAAAAGTTCAAAAGGAAAAGTAGTAATAAGAAAATGTAAGGGGCCAGGCGTGATGGCTCATGCCTGTAATCCTAGCACTTTGGGAGGCTGAGGAGGGCAGATCAGGAGTTTGAGACCAGCCTGGCCAACATGGTGAAACCAACAGCTGGGTGCGGCGGTACATGTCTGTAGCCCTAGCTACTTGGGAGGTTGAGGCAGGAGAATCACTTGAACCTGGGAGGTGGAGGTTTCAGTGAGCTAAGATTGCACTGCATTCCAGTCTGGGTGACAGAGCAAGATTCTTTCTCCAAAAAAAAAAAAAAAAAAAAAAAAAAAAAAAAAGAAATTGCAGAATTTGTGAACATGGGTAAAAAGGACCTTTTGAATGATACATACAAAGGCATTAGACATAAAAAGAGATTTTGATACATTCAATTATATTAAAGTAGTACTTCAAAAGCAACTTCAAAAGTACTACAATAAAGTACTACTTTAAAAGCAATTCTGCTTTTTCTCCCCCTTTTTTTCTTTTTCATTTTCAAAGTCAAGTGAATGGTGCTGTGTTTTGGCAATTCTGTCTGTTGAAAATAATAAAATACACTTCTCAGAGTGAAAAAAAAATCACCACAAATAAAATTAAATATCTAGTGATATTTGCAATACATATAACTTACAAATGTATATAACAGATATAATCAATAAAGAAGAGAAGACCAACTCAACAGAAAAATGGACAAAGGATATGAACAGGCTAGTTACAGATAAGGAAAACTCGAAGGACAACACATATATAAAATATATTCAAGCTTATGAGTAATCACAGAAATGCAAATTAAAACAAATGAAAATACGCCATTTTTTCAATTACCAGATTGGAAAACATTATAAAACTTAATAACATCAAGGATTTGTAAGGATTTGCAAGAACAACAGGTATGCTCATAAGCTATGAGCAAATTAGGGCAAATTAAAGTGGCCATACCGAAGGGATTTTGGCAGTGTACATCAAACTAAAAATGCATATAACTCAGGTAACTATTCTAGACAAACTTATATTTATGTAAAATGAGACAAATAAAATGCTATTTTTGTTATTACATTGTAAATAAAATCTGCTCTTGACCTACAATGTAATCTTATATAATTAAAAGGAATAAATTACAGGTGTTTCCATCTTGAAATGGATAAACCTCAAGACTACTGTTGAGTGAAAAGAACAAATTGTAAAGTAAAATTTTCTTGGGTATAATTAAGTAAAAATGCACAAAATAATACTCTTTTTTTCTCTGGGTTAACAAATACATTTGTTAGAAGTCCAGAACATTATTTTTAAAGATCTAGAATGATAACACAAAACTCGGGAAGATGCTGCCACTCTGTCCCCAGTGGCACATGAGTGCACCCCACAGCATCATTGCCCCTGCTGGCACAGGCAAGTATACAGAACACCCCCATCCTACTCCTGCTGGCACTGCACCCCTGCCAACACATGCATACCTGCTATGTGCTGCTGCTGCTGCTGGCACATACGTGTGAGTGGGGACCTTGCTATAATCACTACAATGAAGCACTTTGCCTGGCACACCCCATCACAGTGTTGTTGCCAGTGGACTAGCCCTTCCACCACACCATGTGCTTAACATTGAAGGACCAGACAACAAATCTGTGGGTATGGTACCAGCCCTGCAAAGTTAGAGCATGCAGTTCAGGAGTGCTGAGCTGAGCCTTTGCCCCCAAAATCTTCCAGAAATGAAGCCATTTGACTGAACCCACCTTGTGCCACAGTCAAACCCTCAAGGGCATTAAAGAATATAAAAAAGGAAAAAACTCCATCCAAAGGACAGTGACTCAAAACATTAGAGGAACCTTAGCACACACAGATGTGAAAGAACCAGTGCAAGAACTCTGGCAATGGAAAATGCCAGAATGTCTTCCTATCTTCAAGCAATCATACTAGCTCTCCAACAATGCTTGTTAAACAGGATGAAATGACAGACATAGAATTCAGAATCTGGATAGAAACAAAGATCACTGAGATTCAGAAGAAAGTCAAAATCCAATCCAAATAATCTAAGGAATCCAATAAGATGACATAAGAGCTGAAAGATAAAATAGGCATTTTAAGAAAGAACCAAACTAAACTGATAGAGCTGAAAAACGCACCTCAAGAATCTCATAATACAGTAACAAGTACGAACAGCAGAACAGACCAAGCTGAGGAAAGAATCTCAGATCTCAAAGACCACTTCTTTGAATCAACTCAGTCAGATGAAAATAAAGAACAAAAAAGAATGAACAAAACCTCTGAGAAATCTGAGATTATGTAAAGTGACCAAACATATGACTCAAGGCATCCCTCAAAGAAAGGGAGAAAGAACGAGCAAGTTGGAAAACATATTTCAGGATATTGCCCACAAAAATTTCCCAAA